TCTAGAATTTCAGTCCTTCCAGTGTATTTGCTCTGCTGCTGAAGGACATTATCCTGAGAACCCTCATTTCCATCTTATGCTTTTGCCAGTCTAAATTCACTAAGCAGCTGATAATCTTGACTCATCATAAGGAAGTGTAGCTATTCAAATGCCTCTTTAACACTTTTTCCTTAAAATCATTGTCAGCTTGCTGTTCTCATTTTCCCCTTTCACATGATAACATAGGGGTGACAGTGCAGATGTGATGGTTAGATGATGCGCTATAGCAGTTTTTGAATAACACTGCCTTTCAGTCTTGAAGAAACCACAGAGTAATTCAACACCAGATTGGCGATTATTTTTAGGAAACTGTTAAAGGTGTAGTTCACAAACACACACATTCATATGTACATATGTTAATGAAAAATGAGAAAGAAAAGTTAAAGGTAACCCACCAAGACCAGAGCTGAAGAAAAAAGTTTGAAATTTTTCTGTTTCTGGAGATTCTTTTTTTTAAAAAATAGGTGGTCATATATTATCTGCAATTTCGAGCTCAATGTTTTAATTCATGGCGGGTCTCATTACATTGCAAGCTGGTCAGGCTGGTCTTGTTGATGACAGAAATCTTCCATCCGTTCTTCAGTTGGAAAACCTGTCCAGGGAAGACACAGACCTGTGGCTGATGGAGCAAGAGAACTGCTTTTCTCTGTTTCATCTCTGCATAATCCTTTGAATAAGGATTGTTGCCCTTTTGCTCTGGCTAAGCAACTTCAGAGTAGATTAGGTTGAGAAGACTTCTCAAGACTCAAGTGTGTTTGATCATTATTGCAGTCCAGTCCCCTCAAAAATTATATCTCTAAATCATGGAATTTCCATCACAAATAACGCTAGATTTTACCAGTTATCAACCCTAATAGAAATTCTGAGATGGTAATTCATAAATCTGTAAAGCAAAACAGATGGAAGATCTCTATGCCAGGAATTTAATCTCTGTTTTCCAGCTGAGGAAGTAGGTGTAAGACCCACAAAAAGCCAAAAATCACATATTGTGAAAATGTTTAATGTCTGACATCTCACCATTTTCTTTAGGGATCTTACTTCAGCGTTCTCAACATTTTAGAAATATTGTGGACTTTTTAACTGAAAGAGAACAGTTGAACTAATTTAAACTTATAACTTTACCTAATATTTTTCCTTAAATTAAATTAATTTTATTAAAACTAATCCTGCAAGTATTAATTCAAATCTGGGACCAAGTTTGTTATTCTTTCCTAAGAAAATAAAATACCGTTCTGTGATGTTCACTTCTGCCCTTCTCATTCTCTGCATTTTGACCCTCAAAAGGGAGCCCTGGGGGTCTATTTTGTTGAGAGTAAGAGATGTGTAAAATGGTATCCATGTAAATCATTAAATGTAAAACTTGGGAAGGAAAATCTCTGAGGCAGGAAGTTAGCATGAGCAACTGATTGATCTGTGTGGGGAAACTAAGGTCTTTTAGCAGAAATTGCAGAACCACGGAGGGAATACTACTTGATACAGGACTTTAGCATCTTTAAACTTGTCATCTCTGGTTCTGTTGATATTTATTGAATTAGTGAAGAAAAAAAATCCTGATTTTCCTCTCACATTCATATTTCAAAATACACTATTAATTTAGTTTGATGGTTCTGTTTCCATATGTCTTTTTGATTCTGAATTTTTCAGGTGGATGTTTTTCAAGTGGAAGCAGTAGATATTGGGACTCTGCAAGGGATGGTGGTTGAAAAAGGGAAAGGCTCTGACTGGCTTCTGGAGAAGATTATTGTGAAAGAGTCAGCAGCTGCAGGGAGAGAAACATTGTTTATGGCTCAAACATGGCTAAAAGACAGACGAGATGGAAAAAGATCTGCCTCGGTAACTCTGAATGCCACAGGTCAATATTATCTTCAAACTATCATTTGCTAAGCAATTCGTTCCAAACTGCAGAATGCAGCTATGTGATTTGCTTCTATAAACAAGTTATGGTTTAAAATATTCCAGTAGACCATTGTCATTACATAGGGAATTAGTGTGTCTGAACACTGTTGTTTTTTAGTAGTATTTAATAACCACTATTTGCCAGAGGATAATTTCTGCTTTGTTACTCCAGATTTACAGTGGCATAAATGGCAACAAACTCGGCCTATTCTCTTTACAAATTGCTGCTTCTCCAAGTCTTACTTCTACTTTGCCACTTGCAAACAATTTTTTAAGCTTCGAATGCTTCTGCCAGGTACTTACCAGGCATAGTAAAAGTGAGGTAAGTAATAGGGCAAACTATGTTTAAGCAGTGGAGAAAATGGCTCCATTGTATTCAAGAAGACAATTTTACACTATTTATGCCACACTGGATAGCTTTTGCCAGAAACTGGACATACTTTTGGCTGACACTCTGTCGGTCCACAGAGGAGCAATTTTGACCCCACTGCCTGTGACTGCACTCTTTGTCAAGACAAGAAGGGAATGTGCATCCTCCCGCCCTGTGCTGTGGTTGCAATACACACACAATCTGGCGTGCAAGCCGAGAGGGAACCACAGCACACCCCAGCCAGATCTGTAGGCAACCAAAGCCCAGTATCTACCATTAAGATGGATGTATTTCTTATGATCCTGCTCCTAAGAGAAGTAAATAGACAGTACAGATGAGTCCTTAGATTACAGAAAATATTCTAGTTCTTTTCCTCCAGGAAACCAGGACACCCAGGGCAACTCTGCTCGCCGTAGCGGCATTGGCATGATGGTACTTGTCCAGCAATACCTTATTGAGACTGAGTAGAATTCCAGTGCAATCCATTTCCTCTGCTTTATCATCTCTAACTGTTGATCATTTGGAACCTGGAAAGTTATTGTGCAAAAGCAAATTTTGGCTTTGTTTTAGATTGTATGTTGGTACTTTTCTGAATAAAATAAAGGAATATTTAGTGTATTTAAGGTTACATAACAAGGTTTTATTAAAACAAATTAAAAAAAAAAATTCTGTTTCTACCAGAATGCATTGATTTGGTAGAAGGAGAAAGTATTCCTTTGAGGTTTTTTTTATACAATAATTGGCAAATCCAAAGTTGGTTGTGATCTCAAAGGAATACTTTCCGTCTTTGGTTCAGGCCTCTATCTAATGTTTACAAGTAGTTTTGGTCTATATCAAATCCCACTGAAGTCAATGGGAGCCGATATCAGTGGGAGGAACATCAGCCCCTAAAACGGTCATTAAAAACATCTAATTAGTTCTGATTCATCCAGAGCATAAATTGTATAAATGAAACAGAAATGCTTTAAAATGAAAAATACTTGAATCTTCATGTTACAACCATTTCCCAGTAAAGAGCTAGCTCTAGAGTCAGTTCATTAAATAGGATGATATGTAGGAGATGATGCTTAAGTAGAAAATCGCATTGTACACTTCCTAGTTAAATCTTTAATCTAAATGATATAATACTCAGTCAATTGCCTCACTAGAGATGAATACAGGCGTTTATTATCATTTAGACACTGTTCTACAAAAGTATTAATTTGGTCTTCAATCTTTTTTTAATTAGAAATTCAGGAGAGGAGGAGCACTTCTGCCTGGCCTTTAGGAAAAGAGCAAATGAATTCAGGTATAGCTTCTGCCATTACATCGACTGTTTTATTCATCAATTCTGAAATAATAATTTGAGAATATTTTCATCACAATACATTATTACACATACTAGTACTGACAATATTTTCCCCTTTGTAATAGTAAGAAATGGTAATGTACTTAGGGAGCTGATCAGCACCCAGATGAGGTGCTTATATATTAATGCTCCCCATGTAGACTAAAACATGTCTTAGGAATTTTATCTCAGGTACTTTGGTTAACATATGAAAACAGAAACACCTTTAATCTTTTTTTTTCCTTTTTATTTCCCTTATTTTATTTGTTCAGAAGGCAGATGGAGGATTTATTTCACAAAACATCAAGAAGAAACAAAAACAGACTTTGAAAAGTTGTCAGAAAATATATCCAAGTTGGTTATGGTTTTTTATGGAAGCAACGGCAAGTCAAATCTGGTTTCCATGGAAAACAAAGTGGAACATCAGGCTAAGAACGAAATAACATATGATGTAAAACAATATATAGATTTGTCTATATTTAAAATTTCCTTGCGTTTCCTTTTAAAGAGAAATAATCATGTAATGCTGTAAATATCGCATATATTATTGTTTAAATATTCAAGAAAAGCAGAACTGAAATTTTCAGTTGCACACCAGATTTCATTTTTAATTTTTGGCTTTCTCAAGTTGATGATGATCAAACGTGGGTTTTTTTTGTCAACAAAGAGTCATAGTTAATAATGCATATCAATTTAAATGGCATTAACATTAAGTATTCACATTTAGAAATCAGTGCAGTATGTAATTTGAATTTGATAGAATAATTACAATGAATGCCCCTAGAGTATAAAGCTAATATTTCTGTAAGTGCTTACGGTCAACCTGGTCCTGCTGCCTTTAAACTCAACGGGACTTTTAGCACCAAGACTGATGTAAATGAGGCTAGGTCCATGCTGACCCCTTTAGAGATAATGTCCTCTCTTCCTGTAAATTAGCTATGCATATATCTATATATCTCTGTTTGGATGCTAATTCATTGTTTTGTTGCTTCCTAGATACATTTACCATCTGATTTGGGAATGCTTTATAAAGTGAGACTTGGTCTCCAGAGTTTGGAAAACAGCATATCCCAGTTGTCTCTTCGTCACTTTAAAATGCAGAACACATCCACCCTGGATACCTTTAGTTTCACCATAAATAAAACACTTCCTCTTTCTCTTAATGGAGACAGATGGATTGAATTCCCTGTAGAGTGGCCATTAAAAGAAGCACTTTCTGGTAGGTATAAATCTACTTTAAAGCAGTAGAGTGGTCCAGGAGGTTAACACGTCCTAATATTACAATTGAAACCTTTATCAAAAGAGAAAATTTTATTGTCTTTATTCAATGATTCACAAAGTCTGGATAAGAATTTAAAATGTTTGAAGGAAAATACTATCCACTCAGCTTAATTTCTGTACCATAAAGTGGGAAATGCAATGTTCATTTGATTGCACAGAACCATTATTATATGCTACAAAGAACAGTTTATAAGAAACATCCCTTTCTGGCAATATTGTAATATTTCTACTCTCCTTTGTTTAGTCCTCAGCTGCTCATATTACTGACATTAACAACATGATTTTTTATAGCTCATTTACTATTAAGCGATTTTTTTTGTTTGCACATTCCAAACAAAGATTCTCAGTAAATACCAGCTCAAAACTACATATAAGCATCAGCTTTATTACCTGTATACACTCCAAATATTTATGTCTGTTAAAATTAGCTCAACAATTGTCTTACATATGTCACCTTTGTTAAGCAAAATAAAAGAAACCCTTTCACCTAAAATCCACCATATCTTCCACATTCTTCTAATGTGAGGCTTACTGAATGCCACCACATAACGGAACAATTCTCAATTTAACAAACAGACCAAATAACGGTACTTAGTATTCAAGTCATTTGTGCATGAGTTTTATGCAGAAAACAAATGAGTTACCTGGGTAAAGAATAAGTCAGTTCATCCAAAGTGAGCTGAAGTAGGTATTAAATGAACTACCCCAATATGCTTTGGATTGGAATTTATGGCCCGGTTTCAGTGAGGTGTTTGCATATGTCTAAATGTAAGCATGCAAGTAATCTCAGTAGAATTAACAGGGGTTGAGGGGGGTTTTGCATATTTTGGCTGCAATTGAAAATTTAAACTTTGTATTTAGGCTTTAGATTTTATATTGCTTAGAGCTGTTATTTTCACTTGGAGACTTGCACAGTATGGGTGCAGAACAGGGCTTAATGGCTTTCATCTCCTACGCACAAGATTGAAACAAAGAGGACCTTCAGATTAACATAAAGCGCATGAGTGTGCCCCTTGCAAAAGACTGATCGCTGTCACATGCAGAAGTATTTAGGGTACGTGTACAAGCACACAGAAATCATGAGAGAAAGATGCAGCGTGGATGATAAATGGGCAGTCAGATTGGAACCCTCGTGACCTTGATTCTGACTCTGGCTCTGTCACTGGCCTCTTGGTTGAAAAGATCTTTTTCCCACTCTTTTTTTTTTCTTTTTTGTACTATTTTCCTTCTTTGTAAAATACTTTGAGACCAAGAGATAAAAAATCACAAAAAAAGAATAGGTATTACCTATGCATTTAGGTAAAAGAACAAAAAAACAAAATAGCTCATCTCTGTTGCATTTATTTCTTTCCACATGGGCTTTAGAAGTCTTCAAGGAGGGATTTGTAACTACAGTGAGGAAAAAACCTAGGACATTGAAAAAACATATCCCCACAAATCTTTGTCATTTTATGTCCGAAAGAACTTTAAGCAGCTCCACAGCAGGTGGCACACGTGGAGTTCAAAGTGATCCTTTACACACAAACTTACTTGCAATTTATTGTGCAAAACAGATCTGCTTTTCTGTCAGCTTTCTAAATCTAATTTCTTTTCTCCTTGGTTTTCTTTTTCTCAGCTAAAAGCAAAATCAGTGTTGTGTTAATTGGAATGGAAAGCAGCTGATCATAATCACCTTAACCAGAAGCCGTGTGCTGTTAAATTTCAGATACAGCTGTCGTTCATAGAGTGCCTTAGTATTTCATCTCTAAGCTATCTTTTCCTTTTTTAAGTTTGTACTTGGGATTGGGATGAAGCATATGCTAATGGCTAATTGAAACCATCAAAACACAGTTGATGAAATACAGTGCAGACCCTCGAGATCTGGCTGTGCACACATGTGCCTTTGGATGTATTAATAGGGAGAGGCCTCCAGCTGAGTATATACATAAATAGTTTCTCTTCACAGTACCGTCCTTTGAGATGCTTACATCTCAGGAGTCCCCAGGGGTGAAACGGTGCTCTCTCCCCCTCTCTCTCACATACAGGACTGTACAGAAGGTGAATTTTGCACTACTGTAGCTTTTAAGGCAAAACAAATAGTGAAAAGGTGAAATAAATATGTATTATGCTACTTTCAAATAGCTGGTTATTTCGACAAAGTTAACACAGAGCCATAATTCACACTGAGATTATAAAATCATTAGAATTTTATAAAATTAATGGAGTTGTAACATTCAGGTATGTTATCCTTATTGTACATATATCTTTCATTTTCCCCCTCTCCAATCTATTCAGTACACTACAGAGATAAAAGCTTACTTGCCCACATTTGCCCTATGATGGCCTGATCCCACTACCTGAACAAAGACCACCATTTAAGCGTTTTAGCCCTCTTCCCTTGCCTACATTTGTCTCATTCAATTGTCCTTCTTTGTGCAATGTACCCTGCCAGTTCTATCCGCTGTATAATCTGATCCAAACTTCATTCAACTCAATCTCTAGCTGACTAGAGTGTGTCATGGCCATGATAAGACAATAGATCTTACATGCCTTGGCCAGACTCACCTGGAAGCTCCAGCCATGATGGCCGTAAGATGTCCATTTAAGATCATGCCTGAGCTACGTCAGATGTGCTTCTTTCTGTCTCTAGTCCTCCCTCTGACCCTGTCTTCTGGATGGACCTTGGACCTACGTTATAGCCCTGTTTTCAGTCCTGTCTCTGGCCCTTTCTCCTGCTGCTCTTGCTGATCTTTTTCATTGTTTGCTGCATCTGGGACTGTTGACAGCTCTGCCTGCCACGTGCAGATGCTGCAGGATTGTTACCTGGTCAATGAGGGCACTGCCTGCGCTGGGGTCGTGCTCAGTTCCCGTCTTGTCCACCCTCGTGGGGCAGGCCCACTCTTGTTGCTCTCTGACACAGTGATCCAAGAAACAAGCCTTCCAAAAGCAATCCTTTCACACGTGTTTTGGGCTGGTCCAGCCTCACTTCTCAAGTTTCAGATCTGGGAGACTGGCATAACAGAGGTCAAGTAAAATAAAAGGAGAACACTTAGAAAATCAGAGTTATAGCCAAAAATAGCAGTGCACAGGTTCCTTTGTTCTGTGTAGTGACCCACTCGCTGCATCGCATCCCTGACCAAATACATTGTTTCCTCTCCTGATTCTTCATTTTGGTTGTAACACCACCCACCATATTCCACACAGTCCTTGTATTTATTCTTTTCTCTTGTATCTTACCATGCCATGATTTGTTGTTCCTTAGGCAGCATCAATTTTTGATTTCCATTTTAAACTTAGCTGTATCCTCTACCACTTAGGCTTTTACTGTTTTGCCTTTATAGGTAAAACTAAATACCTTCTTGGCACTCTGGATTTCTTTCCCTGCACCTGCTCAACTGCAGTAGGCATGCAACAAGGGTCTGTTCTCTCTCTCCTGTTGCTGATGCTGGGGAAACAGGCAAGGCCCATAGAACAGAGCTGGTTCTTGTACTGAACTCAGTATTTTAGATGATCGTTAGATCTGAAAGCTGATAATAACAGCTTGTTATCTGCTTTACCTGGACTTTGTCTTCTTGGCTTCCAAAGGATGCAAGTAATCTGTTTATACACACAGTCCCGTATGGGATAAGTGTCTGACTGATCTAAGCTCTGAGCCACATTCTACAGAAGTCTTCTGCGAGGTCAGGATTCATCCCCATTTACTAGAGTGTCTACAGGAGTAAAAGGGAGATGATAGGTAGATGATTGAAAGAGGTAAATATTCAGAACTGTCACATCATTTGGTTCTATGAGTAAAATGTAAATGAATGTAAACAGATGCTCTGTGTACGCGTTTACTTTTAAAGGTGTTCAGGTGGTGTCATCTTGTCTTCAATTAAATAACTATAACCATTGCATAAATCACAAACAGCACAAATTCATGGGTGACAACTTCAGCTGAGATAGACTTGTCTTCCTGAGCTCCCTCTATAGTCAGTGGGTGTGCTCCATCATAGTGAAGTTCAGAGCAGCAACTTAGGTGCTCTGAACCACACATGGGGAGCTTCTCTCTCCATCTCTTAGATGATGAAGCCTGAAGGACTTGTCTCCCTAGCTAAAGTTAGTCTTTGTAAAGATCCTAAAAGTGATTGCTGAGTCTGAGACTTATTAGGATTTTATCTACTAGGCATTTGCCATTAAAAAGAAAAAGGCAACTGACTGTCGTAATTTTTCCATAATGTGCTACTGTTACAAACAGCATAAAGCATAGGCATGCTTTTCTTAATTTAATGTCAAGTTGTCAGCATCACCAGTGTTTATAGTTGCAGGACAAAATTAAGGGAAAATTGAAAAAAATTTGAATTTTACTATCATTTTCAAGTGTTTGAATTTTTAATTACATCTGACTGCACATTGCTATGTTGTCAAACAGCTGCGCAAGGTTGTGGCACAGTCTTAACAAGATCTCTTTCTGCTTGATATTGCAGTGGTTACATATCATCTAACGGTATTTTCTAGAAATATTTTGAGTGAGAGAAATCTAGTACATATGACTGCATGTATATATGGTACTCATGGTGACACAGGGGACAGATCCCTTCTCTGGTCGTTGCAGAATATCCAGCAGGGAGAGGACAACGAGGTACTCTGTCTTAAAGTACTTTAAAATTTATCCTTTAATCCATTCTTGTACTTTTTATGTATTATTTTCAAATCTTCCTATATAATTCAGTAATATAGTTCAAGATCGTAATACTGAATAATTTTATTGTAGTCGTTTCTAGTTATCGTGGATGCTGTTGAATTGGGAGAACTGGACAAAGTTGTTCTTTTGATCAGCAGTAAAACAGGTAAAGTACTTTTGCTGCTCTCTAAAGTCAGTGATGTGAATCACACAGCTAGCCTCCTGTTAAAGGCAATGAAATCACTGCCAGAGTTAAATCCCGATTAATTTATTTGGCTATTTTTGCTAAAAGGTAATATTTTATAAAGCAAAATCCTACATTTTGACACATTAAAATCCTTGGATCTAAAGGATATATCATTATTGCATCAAGAAAGTGAACTATTCCTTTCCATACAAGAAAAAAACCCAGAAAATTAAGATGAATAATTATATTCTGCGATTAATACATGAGCTATTAATAAGTAATCTAGGAGAATAATTATAACTCACATAAGAAACTGCTATTGTTTAATTGTCCTTCTGTGATTCAGTTATTTTCATTGTTTTCCCCACCTGTTCTGTTTTCTCCCTGTGACATTCGGGACGGGGGGGGGGGGGGGGGTCTATGAGGCAATCAGTAGTTTTGTGGCTGAATTTCATTAAAATGGTCATAACTTTAACATCTCTTTGCCTCATCTGTAGGATGGCTATCATGCTACTAAGGAATATTCAAAGAATTAATTGTAAAGTTTTTTGAAGTCCTTTAATGAAATTTACTGGATAATTGCAAATCATTACTTACTATGTGTTACAGTCGACCATTTTCAGACAGTTTTCTAGGAAAACAAGGGTTCTGTGTTTGCACTTTATCTCTGTCTTTTTTGTTTGCCCATCTGTTGGCTCCTCATGATAACCTTTTAGTCTCACCATCCAGTTTCAACCAAATCTGTAAAATGTGTACAGACGTCAAAGACATTTGGGCAGTGCGCATGTACGTACTGGTTGGCTGGTCAACACATCCTGCACCACAGCACGGTCTGCCTCGGCTGCTGGGGGCTTCAGAGAGGGCATGGTATGGAGCTGCAGTTACTATAGAGGGGAAGGGAAGGAGAGGGACAGCCCTGCCATGCTGCTGTTGGGGAGCAAGGTGTATAGCTCACTACTTTTGTTTCCCGCAGCTTCAGCTGCGCAAGTTAACTACAGCCATCTGTCTGACTGACAATCATTGAATACGGCAATTGCATGTTGCCAAAGGGCACCACAGAGTGCATGACAGGCAAGATTTTTCCAATCAGGTTTGAAAACACGATTCACAAAGGAGGTACTCTGGGGCTCATTGACTCTGTGTGTGTTATGAAGAGAGGACTGGGCAGATGTATAATACATTTCTTCCAAAGAAGTTATTTAGACGATAAAGCACTTCAGATGAGTAAGGGTGTCCGTATTGCATCTAGACTTGTTTGGACTGAGACTAGCTTGGACCGAGACTAGTTTGGACCAAGATTTTGAACTAAAAATCTGCAAACACAAAAGCTCTTTAGTGTGTAAAGTCAGATATACCCTGTAGGACTGGCCAGCCCAGGCAGAGTGTTGCTCTAATGCATTTATGCTTCTTCCAGTATCTGAGCAGGTTTTTAAGATCAGGGGAGTTGAAATCCCTTCCTGAAGCTTCTGACTCTCTCCATGCACTGTCTGGGCAGGTCATGAGTGCAACACAATGTCCTGGATTCCTCCCCAGGAGCCTGAGCCTATTAACTTAGACACCTGTTGGTATAGTTAAAGGGTCTTGGACAGTAGTAGAAGACATTGTGATGCAGTTTGCTGAACAGGGCTGAAGGGACAAATAATAGAAGAGAAGGGAAAATGAATAGCCTTCATAACTAACTAGTGGCAAGAGATTCAGGCCAGTTTTGTAGACAACATGTAGCTGAAGCCCCCAGCAGAAATTTCAAAAGGAAATGTAAGTCAGAGAGCAATCTTTCTCAAACAGCAGAGGTATACAGTTAGTTGCTGAACTTCCTTCATACTTGCCACCTCACGAGATCCTCTTTGTGCTGCATGTGGAACAGAGCTCCAACCCTCCTGTCAACCAGTCACTGAGGAGGAAGCACCAGATATGTATTTCTGCTCTTCCTCCTCAAATGTGCCTGCCTGAGTCATGCTGAATCTTTTCTGCATGCCTGTCCAAGGACAGTGAGGACAACGCTCCTTTGCTTCACTAAAACAAAGGAAATGCTTACTCCTAAATTTTTAAGTTGAGGTTTCAAATAGGAAGAAAATAAGGAATGTTATGATGATTCTAGGATTTTTAAGTCAGTTGTTGGTATTCCTAAATGAATTAATAAATGATGTTTTAATGTAGTAGGAATGACACCTTTATATCAACAATAGACTCTACCTAATTCCTTGACATGCAGTACAACATTCACTATACTTTTTTTCCTTTTTTGTAGACTGCAAACTGGACATTAAAAAATTGCATTTGAAAGAAGCTGTAAAGGAGCATCCTATCTATGTATTTGAAGTGAATGAGTAAGTATATTATGTAAAGCTAGTCATTTTTTAGTCATTTTATAGTATAATAGTTGAAAACAGTGAGCGGGCATTGAATTAAAATGACTGTCACAGAGTGGTTCAGTCGATGGATATATTTAAAATAAGTCCATCTTTAACTGTCCCACATAAATTCATAGGATTTTTTTGATTTAACATATGATTTACTTACCATAAAAACATACACGGTTTTGTTTTTCAGAGCATTTTCTGTGGATGCAAATAAGCCAGAAATACAGAGAGAAATCCCAGTATCTTTTGTTATTAGAGGAGACAAAAAAAAGAATGACATAGATAACAACTTACATAAAGAAGGAAGTCAAGCAAGAAATCTGACTGAGTATACTATTAAAGTATACACAGGTGACAAAAGGGGAGCAGGGACTGATGCCAATGTGCATATTATTTTATTCGGGTATGAGGACAAATCTGAGGTATTTCAACTCTCTCAGTCACTGGAGCATCAAGACCCCTTTGAAAGAGGAAAGGTGAGTACACAGATTTTATAGGATGTGTCCATTTCTGGACTGGGAAAGCAAACTTTAAATCTATGCAAGATCTTTACGGAACTTAAGGCATTCATCCTGTTTTCCACATCATGAGATGAGATATAGTCTCAGCTATCTCTGTGTTTCGCCTTTTCACCAGAGTAACCAAGGGACATTTTACTTCTATCATATCTAGCTGACTCTGTTGCTCTTCTGTCTCTGTCCCAAGCATATCATCATATTGCATCCACTCATCTGCCCAGTTATGCATTTCTTTGATCTGAAATGCACAACATGCATTGCCTGTGCATGTGCATATACGTGCAATATCCCTTGCTGTTGCACAAACTTTGAATATTGTGCTTTAGAATACATCAGTCTCTTACATCCCATCATTTTACTTTGCCATGGAAACTGATGCTGTGAGCCTCACTGAATGTATAAGCCTATAACCAGATAAAATGGAACCATGCACATCAACCTGATTCTGATATCCATCACGCTTTAGGCTATCAGAGACCCCTAGTTCAGATACAGATGTTTGCATAAGAATGCTGGCTCTCTGCATGATGTCCTAGTACCTTAGCAGAATGTTCTCCTATTTTAATAAACATGTTACTCTGGCAAAGGAATTGCTCCATTTGCTCACCACCTGTGCAATGGAGTATAATAATGGTTACCCTTATGTAACAAGAAATAAATATATTTTCCATATCTTTCTCCTGTGGATTTCTTGAAAGGTAATGACTGAATAATTAAAACTCCAGTTGAAAATATCTTTCTTATGAGATCTACCTCATTATCTCCAGCAGTACTAAACATCTTTTTACTTGCAGTTAGTCTGAGTTTCTTCAGCCAGGATGTTTGTGAATATATTCTAAAAGATCTTTACCCATGTATTGTATTCCATACTGAGGAGGTTAATAAGTCTAGTTACCTATAGGCACAAGGAGCAAGTAAGTCTTGAGTAGCACTTCCTTTTGCCTAGTACTACACAGGAGGTGCCATTGCTCTTTGATAAAGAAGAGTAGATACATAGAAATCCTGTTAGCAACCCAACTAAGTCAATGGGAGGCCAGTGATGTCAAATATCTTATGAAAAAAGGATCTCATTTTTAAAAAATCTGTAATATGAGACAAGGTAACATTTTAAATTAAAATATATAATATTTGAGAGAGATAATGGTACATGTAGTAAAAGCCTTTATCTTTTATGTTCTTGAATGTATATTTATGTATCATATACTGAAAACATTTTAGAAGTCTGTGTCTGTTGAGAATTCATAAAAGAGCAAAAATATTTTTCTGGTATATGAAAGTCAGGAAAGAGGTAGGGACTGTCCTACTATAAGTTGAAAAGTGAATCTTTCATATTTAAACTGAAACCTATTAGGAGAGAATCTATACCACAGATCTTCAGCAAGGAAAATAAACCACATCAAGTGTCAGCCCCCTATTTTGAATGGGTATTACTACATTTGAATCAGTCTCAGAACTGACCTAAACAAATGTGTAAGTTTCCAGACATTGGTATATTATTTTTAATAACTGTATTTTAATATTAAAGGTTGATACATTCAAGATTAATACAAAAAAATTAGGAAGTCTACATTCAATTGAAATTGGTCACGATGGGAAAGGATTTGGTGAGTATACTGCATGCGTTCAATAGCCTTGTAAAAATCTTCTGCTTAAAGTTCTGCCTGACATTTGGAAAGGTTTTTGAAGTCATGCTGCTGCTACAGCTAGCTAATACAACTCTGTATACAAATGAGGTCAGTTTGACTGCTCTTGCTTACACCCCCTCTGGCTCTATCATGTTTCCCTTGACTTTACCTTGAATTTTTTCTTTTCTAACAGAGAAGAGATCTAGTTAGCATAAACCTCAGAAGGTTTTATCCTTCAAACATTGCTCAGCCAAAACTCCTATTAGATGTCTTAAATAGCATAGGATTGAATTTTCAAACTGCAGGCTAAACTTTCCATGCTTTGAACGTTATTTAAGAAATGTTTGGGCAAGTTTGGGACTCTGGTCAAAGCATGCTGTAGCTCCCTCTGACACAGATGCGGCTTTTCGTCTTGTGAAAGCTAAACCATGAGGAGAACACTAGTGTGTACCAGGTCTTGCCCTGATGTTAAGTTAGGATATGGCTACAGTACATGCCCACACACGATGATGGAAACTGTTTCTATGTACAGCATGTTACACCTAATCTCTAAAACCTGAATTTTACAAAAACAATAAGATGGGAGACTGGGGCATATAATATTTTGAGCTTACATTTAGTGGTGCTAAAAACCCTAGAGGTATACAAATATATAAAGAGAATTTGCAGGCAATGTACACCTTGAGTCAAAAAGGTCTGATTGTATTGAGATATTCTAGCCAGGTGAATTTTGCTTAACCTATCTGAAAGAAATAGGTTTAGGTTTAATAAAACCTGGTTTATCTAAGTGCATGACCCACTATAAGGTGGCAAGGGTTTATCATATCCAGGACAAACCAAGCAAAATTCTGCAAATAGCAGTTCTTATTTAGGCAAAAGTTGAACAGGTGTTTTTCTAACTACCCAGTCACGTTGTACATGTGATGGTATTGAAAACTCAAAAAGAAAAAACACCAAACCTGTTGAAATACCTATAATAAATAAAATCCTCTTGGTGACTTTCATCTCATTTGTGTTAGCTGCTGTACATGCATGCAATTCAACTCAGAACTGACACGGGAAGGGAACTCCACACTGGCAGTCTTTTAGCGCTCTGAGTGTTGCACAGAAGTCTGCAGGGTAAATACAGGTTAGGCTTGTATTTTCTTGGTCCCAAACTATCAACAACATGATTATCTTTCCTCTCTGTGTCCTGATCAACATCACATAGTTGTTAATACTGCCTTCCTAGCACAGCTGGTGTGTGTTGATTCATCTTACATCCATGACTACCTTCCTCTAAATTTTTCTCTGAAAATATCTCCAAGTGTCTTTTGTCACATCAGCTGTAATCCTCACAAGCATCCTCAAATGTCACACCTCTTCGAAATGTTTCATCTGTTTGCTAGTCTTTCCTAGCTGCCTCTAGATTTCTCCATACCTGGAGATTTCAGTGAGGTTTGTTGGAGTTTTATCAATAAAGGATAAAGCATTAGATTTCAGACTTTTCAAAGGAGCAAACATGCCTTTATATTCATTTGTAATGTGCCATGTAAATTTGAGAGACTGTAAATTTTTATTGCTGATAATCTTGACTCTGAATTACAGAGTTTTCATGAAAGGTCATATATTCCAAGTAGAGTCTATGACATATTAAACCATTCACAAGATTTCATTAAAGGAGTTCCAAAAGTACGTGACAATATCAATAAATGACTCTTGTGAATTGAAGATGAAAAATATAGACACCTTTATGGCCTAGTTATACCAGCTAATTGTTTGAAAATGTCCATGAAAAGTGAGAAACATCACTATGCCTTTACGTTTTATCTAAATTGCTACAATTTGCAAATATTTTTATAGTATATTTTTATCCTACTTACAAATATTTTTATTGGTTTTAGCCCACTTAGTATTTGTCCAAATATTTGAAAACCAAAATAATTTGTTAGAATATAGTATTTTATCTCCAGGACATGCAAAGAATACCAAAAGGTTTTCAGCTACTAGCAGTATGATCCTAATTAGTTTTTAAATGTTGTCATTAAGTATTTGCATTGGCAAACACAACTAAGGATGCCAGCACAAACATCGTATTTCTATAATAAAGTTTTATTTTAAAAATCTTCATATTTTAATATTCTATGAAATAAAATTCTATAGCACAATAATGAAGGTATTTTTCACACAGCAAAACAGGAGATAATAGCAGATACTAAATGCATTCTTAAAGCTAAAACAGATATAAGTGTGTTGGCCTAAATGGAAATGCTATTCGGAATCACTACTGCAGAAGAAATATGGATATGAGCAGCATTCAGATTCACCACTTGGTTTATATGGATATAAACGTATTAATTAGAAAGGAGTAATAGATTTCTGTTTCCCTATTGTTTAAGGGCTTGGGTTATCATCAAAGAAATTACATGTATTGATAAAGTCTATCTGTTTTTATTGTTTGGTGGACACTGAAAATCAAAGCCCACTGGGGTGTACTTCAGAGTACCAAAAAGGGCAAAATGGGATTTCAAGAATGTATTCAATATTACCATGCACTCTGTTTCATTTGTCTTACTGCCTGTTCTGTTCCACGTGGAAAAATGAGTTAAGTTGTAATAAAAATCTTCCTTTATATTTTCTGTCAAAAACATCAAAGACCTTCTCCGTAAAAATGAGAGAAGTTGGTAATAATTGAATTATCTACATTTCAGTTTTATTACTGATATTGAATACATTTGGAAGTACTGAACCATGCAGGGTATGGAAATGAAATTAGAAACCTTTCTTATGCTTTATTTGTGTTTTGGTTATATTCAGTTTGCTCTTTTTTCCCTTCCACAGCAAGTGGCTGGTTTCTGGAAAAAGTAGAAATCACAGATGCATCTAGGAATTCAGTGTATTGCTTCAACTGTAACAGGTCAGTAGAACAGTTCATCATCACTCTGTAGCCGCTGTTTTCTATTTAAAAAGAATCAGTACTAGTCTTTTTAGTCTCTCAGTTGTTTCTCTTCTGGTTTCCTAAAACAGTAAGAATTTTTTAACCATACCGTGTTTCAGTCCGTCCCCAGTAACTTTTGAGTCCTTTGGCCAATTTCAGACTAATTTGTCAGAAGAATATTTAGAGGAAGACACTATATTTTTCCAAGTTATTAAAACTGGATGACTGTAGGAGGGAGAGAAACAGTTTAGTGCCTTTGCCAAGAGAAGGTATTACTATGCCATTTTCAAGAGGTAGAAGCTGTCTGGTGAACCATTACACAAGTATTAGTGCATATGTAGCTCTGTCAAGCATATCATGGGTATGCAAATAGGCATGGGAGGGAATCAGAAATATGGGATGGTGGGAGGATGGTAGGATATGGCAGTATAGATACAAATCTGGAGAAAAAGTAGTGCTTTTTTTTATTGTACAAAAACAACATTAAAATCCTTCTGTTTCAACGTCTGCTTAGTATGGGTCTAAGATACATTCAGCAAATGAGGTAAAGATAAAAGAAACCTTTTTACAATGTAAGGTAAAAGGATAATGATCTAAATTCAGCCATTTATTTGGATAAAGAGGTGTTGGGGTAAAGAGACATTTGTACATTCTCTAATGTACAAAGAGAAGATCCACTTCAGTCTGCATCAAACTGAAGCAATACACCCTCAGAAGTTGAAAATTAAATTGAAAGGTATATTTGGAGTGACTGTTCACTACAGTATACAGTTTACAGCTTAAAGCACTTCAGAGTAAACAACAGAAGCAAACACATTCATGTCTTTCTAAGTGTAGAATAGGTTTTTAATGCATCTGGAGAACAGACAAGTGTGAAAACTTACAAGTTCCCTGTATCTAGAAAGAGGGTTGTTGCCTGGTGGTCTGAAAACAGAAATGGTAGCCAAGAATATTTAATTTTATCCTTCCCTTAAATGTTTCTGTAAACTTGACAATTCATGGAAGCCAAATCCCAATCCTGAACCCAAAAAAGCAACATTTTTTTAGTTCTTGGATAGTCAGTTGGACTCCACAGTCTAAGTCATGAGAATGTGTAGCTGTTACCAAAGTCAACAACATTAAACTTCTTCCAACAACATTAAACTTCTTCCAACAACATTAAACTTCCCTTCATTAAACTTCTTCCAAACACATGCCTATGTACTATCTAATCTTTTAAATACCTAAATTTAGGTTAGTGGGCATGAGCAAAAGTCCTTAGACCACAATATCACTCAGGTGCGCAACACAATCCGTGATGGGATTTTCAGTTGATGTCACTCCACCTCTTTTGCTTGTAAGAGTTCTCAGACCACACCAGTCAGAGGAAGATTTTTGAAAAAGATCACTTACAACAAGCATTTTTTTCGAGAGTTTTTTTTCTGATTTTATTTAAAGTGTTATGGTAAAAACACAAAGGTATGCAAGAGACCCATTTGGAGCAAGACTTGAATCACATCATTGATGTGGGGGAGTGACTGACACAGATTGATTCTACAGACTGCTGACTTGGACATTTAACTGGGACCTTGGTGGGTTAGAGTCATGTCCTTACCTTAATGTATACCTGCTTACTCAAAATAGAAGAATTTTGGTAGAAGAGATTAGGAGGTCCACCCCAGAGCACTCAGTGACCCAGAGGCGATAGGGCACTCCTCGGATACAGGAAACTGTAAGTTCATGTCCCTGTTCCAGCTCAGACATGGAGCTTCTCATCTCATAGCCTACTGTGTAAATGGGGAATGGATTCATTCTCTCACAAAGACAAGACCCCTGTGATACAAATGCTGTCTCTAAAAGATACTCATCACTGAGAAACCTGAAAGGAGGTGGGCATCCTTTACTAACTAATTTAAATGCCTGTTGTCTAGCTTACACATCACACCTTTCCTTGGCTCTGGGACTTCCATGAGCAATTTTATCTGCCAAGATTAGTTGTGTTTCAGTCTGGAACTGTTTATCTTCAGCCATATCTCCCAGCTGTTCAATGATGCAACTTCAGATGTGAGCTACATTAACGCTATACCAGCTGGGAATCCCTCCCATACTAGCTCCTTAGTAGACATCACATCAGGTAGTCTGTCATAAGCCTTGCAAAAGTGTTAGAAGCTTTTTAACTCTCTTTGGAAATTAATATCATTGCCTCCATGGTTCCAGTTAACATCAATCTACCTGAGCTTTGGACTCAGGCCTATTTCCCATACAGTCAATAGTGAAACCTCCATAGGCTCTTTCGGAGCATGGATCAGGCCCACCGTACAACTCAGTATTTTGTGAGCCAACAAGGAGATATGAGAAATAAACAGTCCCTGGAATGGAATACGTGGACAATAACTTGCTATCACAGAACAGGTTTCCTTACTCCAAATTATCCTGATTTTATGCCACTCGATGAAACAATCTACTTGTCACCTATATGGCCAACAAATAAAATGAATGTATATTTAATAAATATATTTATAAAGTAAATTACACTTTTAAATTACACATATATGGATAGTAAAAAAAAATAAAAAAATCACTATTTGCTTCAGGTTGGTTACTGCTTTTGTATAAACCAATGTAAGAGCTCTCCTAGAAATCCAAAGATGCAGAAGCAGGCTCTCATGATTTGTCTGTTTGTTAAGTTTTATATGTGCTGTATCTCTGACAGGATTTTATCTTTTTCCCTTAAGGTGGCTTGCTGAGGATGAAAGTGATGGCCGCACCGTAGTGCAACTTTATCCATAGCTGCTTGATTTCTGATTCTTTCTGAGTGTGTTACTTCTCCAAATTCATGCTGATTTGATTTACTTGTATTTTATAATTCTGAAGGTATTGTAATTACTGTGAAGGAATGTCAAAACAATGCATTAAAAACATCACAGTAAATTAAACATGTCTAATGTGAACACTGCATTCCAATCCTATTAGAGATGCTCAAAAACTTTGCATGACTGAAATTTAGAAAACAGAAATGTAAATCTGTAACATGTCTCTGTGGACTTGATCTGAGCATTCATAATGGTAGACATGTAGTAATATATTCAAACATTTTTGTTTCAGTAATAATTTGTGGGTAAGTTAAATTTAGCTCTTTGGTCAAATCTGTCAATATTTATTAATTTGATAAATCTGTTTCAATTTCAACATTTATTAAAACTTAGATTTCCTCAAAATAATTTTCCAGACAAACTGCACAACTCTTCAGCCTTACCATGTATTTCTTCCTTTTTCTATAAGACCATAACAGAGAGTAATAAAGAATTTGTTATTCAGGAGTTCATCCTGTGTCAGCAAGCCTCCCACTGATGTTTGATTGTAAAATCTTGTAGCTGAGCCAGAACCTCATCCGAGAACCTTTAGATTCAAAGGGTCTCTTAAGAGAAGCTGTTATCAGTAACATTGCAATAGCTTACTGGCAGGCTTAGGCAGCTCCCTGCTCAGCTTGATGACTTTTGCAGCACCCATTCTTAGCCACCTAACTGGCTTTCCGGTGCTATATGTGTGAATGCCTTTACGTCAAAAAAAAAACCCAATTCTTTTTGAAAATGCACAATAAATAGAAACATATTTAGCTACAAATGCACAAAACAATGTTTGGTTTGGTAAGCTTTCACATTGCCAGAATTGACTCAGAAAGGGTTTAGGATACAGATGAGTTTGAAATGAAATAATGAGTTGCAGACCACCTGAAGTTTAATGTGTGTGATCGGAATACAAATATTGTATATACGTTACATAGGGCATCCCTCTGTTTAAACAAAGGCTCTACCTTTAGTACCTCTAAAATTTAAAATCTGTACGAAGGTCTAAATTTTAGACCTGCTTCACCCTCAAGGCACTACTATATTCTGTAGCAGCAATGTGCTTTCTATAATCGTAAGAATTAAATGAGTTTCTAATCTGCGCTGATGAAATATTGTCTGGCTGTCTTTTTAATATGTTTAATGCTTATTTACTCACATTATTCTGTGAAATGAGGAATGTTGGCCAATATCTGCATGGGTGATGAGATTTCAGTTGTTACTTAGACATAAAAAATAATAAGCACATACAATGGGTCTTGGCAGGTAATTTCATTTTTATCTACCTTATACGTCATCAAAGGGAGAGCTAATGTAAGGTGTGGATGTGATCAGAGTGAGCAATGGAACAGAGTCAATTTCTTCTAAAAGTGCTTTTTGTGCTCACACTGCTACCACGCACACTGGAATGGATTTGAAATTGTATCCCCAGAGCGCACAGTTCACTTAGTATCGGTATTCATTACACTGAATCACTTTGTTGTGATCTATTATGTGATTTGTTTCATTATTATGTCTTTCATTAATAGTTTGTAATACTAGCACTCTTTGATGCCATTTCTGATTTATCAAGTGTAAATGATGCCTTCCTAATCTGTTTTTCATTGCTAACAGTGAATACCCTCCTTCAGCAGCTGCCTTCCATATTTGAAAATTATTTTCTCTACTTATACAGTGTACTAATCAGGTTTTGGATTCGCTTCCCCGGATCCAGAGCCACATAAACACCTCGACCCTTTCACTAGCAGGACCACCACAGCAGAGGGCTTCATTTCAAGTGCATCATGGGTGCTTGCAGCACATATTACCAGGGGATTGCACTTTGATAAGAAAACCTGAAATACCATGAGAACCCCCTTCTCAGGTCTTGCTTGGAAGACACGCCAGTTAGCATACTTAGTTTGTGACTAGTGCCAAACCCCAAACTTGCCTCTTCCACATGGTATAACAGTGATGTCTGCTGTGTTTGGCACAGACGTCACTTAATCTCTGTGCCTTGCAAGCGGGACAATTTTTGGACAAGACTGCTGGCCAAAGACAGCTGTTGCTGCACAGCAAGGTTGCTGCCTTGCTTTTTTGCTCCCAGCAACCTGCCCTGCCTATGGAGAGCCTGGGCAGATATTGATACCACTGATGCTTCCACAGGCAACAGAGATGTAGCATGGAAAAAAGACTGCCTGGGTCAACAAGAAATCCAGGCATTTGGCACTCATGGGAGCCTTGGAAGGAGCAGTGAGATCAGAACTCAATCAGCTGGAAGAGGCAAGGCTGTAGTGGGGAGAAGGGTTTGACTTCTGCCGTCTCTCCCTGCTGCATCCTGTCGTGGAAGATCTGTGTGACAGGGCAGTGGCTAGAGGATTTTGCTATTATTATTATTATTGTTGTTGTTGTTGTTATTGTTATACTGATCCAAGAACATTTCATTTCGCACTGCAGAGGAAGCCTCGAGCTGGAGCTGGGTGCTAAAATATAGACCCTGAAGACCATAACATAGACTCTTAGATATAACAGAGTCTGAAAGTGTCCATTAAGGGTCCAGTATTAGTTAACTCTAGCTTTTTTCCTCATCCACTTCTCCTGGTGTGCTTTTATGTATACTATTAGGTTGATCCAGGTGACATATTTCTGCCCATTTAAGCCCTTAAGTGTCTCAGTTTCTTTTGCTGACGATGTTAAGGATTTGAAAAAAATATAACCGTGTTCTGACTGGCTCATTGGACTATTTAATATTCTCCCAGCAACTCCAAGTACTGCCTTGGTGAAACTCGTCATACAAAAGAAAGGATTCCCTCCTCTTAAGTACACATGAGCAGTTATATTGCATCTATCCATCCTGTAGTTTGTCAGTTGTGGAAATGGAGTGAGAGTAAGAAAAAAGGAAGTACCAAGTGCTCCTTTGAGTTCCTTTAGAAGTCTTGGATGAACACCATCTAGTCCTGTGGGTTGTTAGTATTTATAAATGTGTTTGCAAATACAAACAACCTCTGTTCACACATCAATTTAAAATGGTCCCTTGGACTTCTTCTCTGTGAAGCAAACCAGTAGTCTGGAAAAGTCCATAAACTCATCCGTACTGAGCAGTGCAAAGCAGTGTCATAACTTTCCGTGCTGCAGCTGAATCTTTGTTTTACAATTCTTTTGCTTGACTTGAAAGAATTTGAAATAGGTGAAGCAAAAAGGGGAAAGAAAATGGGACTTCTCATTTTCTTCTTCAAACTTTTGAAAATTCTTAATTACATCTTAAATAAAGTGTCATAGGGCATGGTAATATCCCCTTAGGCATTCCATAAAAGCTTTTCCCATTTATCATAAAATGTGATGTGCTTGGTTGTTGGTTGGCTTCTGCATGCACAATGGCAGTGAAAGAGTTGTCAGCATTGTACAAAGCCTGGTTGCAAGCTCGCTTCCTGTGATGTCTTCCCATATGTCTATGTCTTCTGCTATCATTCATTATATATTTATCTCTATCTTTGATTATATTTTTAAATACATACTATGAAGCAACATGAAAGGTAACTGACATCTGTTTCTAAATAATAAATGTAAATTTAAGAAATCCTGAGTTAAATCTTCAAAAATTCTAAGAAATCATTTCTTCTGTCATACATAATATTAAAGTCTATGCTGTCATCAAGGTGGGGCTGTTCTCAATCGTTCTGGCTGCATAAACCAGGAATTCATTTATTTATTTGTCTATTTATTTATATGAGTGTACAGTTGAATGTATTTACATGTTTTTAATGTTTAGACATTCTGGAAATATAATACAAGAAGCTGCAGCCCCAGTTCAGCATGAAGTATAAGTATGTGCCTAAAATGAAAGTATATGCCTAAAACGTAAGCATATAAACAGTCCCACTAAGTTTGATTTATAGGCTACTTAGAGGTAGGTGTGCACCTAGGAGTCCTGCTACATTGCATCTCTTCCTTTCCAGATCTCATGTGGTGGGGGTGTATGTGTTGGCATTTTCACATGAATCCTCACATGCTACAGAAAAGAGATTTAGGCATACAAAATACACGTATCAGTATCAGGATGTTATAAAGCAAAGTAATTTCTGCAACCAGGGAACATTCCAGAGTATTCTTTGTAATTGTAAAAGTAGGCCAACATATGGAGATACTTGATTCATGCTTCTTTTCTCAATTTTAAAGGCAAGTTTATAGTTTGAAAATGTTTCTGTGTGAATCTACATGTAGGCTTATAAATAAAATAATCTCAACTTAAAGCAAGCAAGCAATAGCTGTTTATACTTGGTATGTTTTTAAAATAGATAGTATTTTAATATTAATTTTCTAAATAGTTTAGCAATTTACCGATGTATTTCTGATTTGTGCTTATGTTAATTTGCTGAAATAGTGGCTTCATTGAAAGGACGTGCCTTTCAGAGCATAGCGTCTGTTGTGAAGGAAGCTGTTTGGGCAAAAAGGACTGAGCACGGTAAGAAAGGCAGGCTTTTGTGCCAAAATACTGCCATAGGGTGTCAAATCCAGGCACAGTGAACTCTTTCTAATGCTTCAGTTACTCTGAGCTAGAAGAAAATGCAGAAACATTAAGCACCAAACTGCAAATTGTCAAAAGTATTGCCAAACAAAAGAAAATAGATTTGGGAATAGTTTGGAATGATTGCATGCAAAAATTGATTAGACCTGTAGAGTACAATGATATTCTAACGGTGAAATGAGAGAACTACAAGCAAGAGCTTGAGTGTATATAGGGCCATCTAGAACATACAGCTAAAGAAGACTAGGAAAAACGTCATGGTTAGGAACCTGAAGAAATAAAAAATACTTTAGAGTAAAGATAAGAGGATTGGAACCCAGAACTGTATTTCCTGGACATTTAGGTTTGAGTTGGTAACAGTCTACAATGAAAAAACAGAAAGACCAAAAAAAAAAAGTATCCCTAAAATACACAATGGTGATTTGATATTGTAAGGGGGG